TCGACAGAGTTGCTCGACAAGCTGGTCTGAATCTGACACCATTGAATCACTGCAAGGGATGCGCGCAGAGGTAGAGGAACATTCAGATGACTTCTGAGAATTTCAACTTTCTCGTTTTGCAATGTGCCGTTATAGCCTTACTTGGAAGAGGGGGATTTTTGGACCACGAATGAGTTTGTTATGTTTAGTTTTAAATAAATCCGACCTGAATATAAAATAGCAAATGCAAGTCCGCAGTAACAAAAACGTTTATTTTTACGGAATAACTAAGTTATGGGTCAAAAATAAGTTCTAGACCAGTGGTATAGCCAGGAAAATTCTATTTTCGCCATAATATGAGTACAAACCTTTGAAAATTTAACATGGGCCTTATGAGAAAACATTCCGCCATTATTGTCATTTGTTTACATTTTTAAACATAACTCGGCGTTCTGTACCCACGGGCACCTCAGCTTGCGCATGCGCAGAAAGCTCTTGAAGCACTTTCCGAGGTAACTGTTGTACTTCTGATGTGTATTAGCTCCTGACATACAATTTTATCAACTAGAGACAGAGAGAAAGAGGACGACTCGACTTTGCTCCACTTCATTAAATAGTTTGATGTATAAGAATTTGTATTACATTATAAAACTTTCCAGAGTAATGAGTTTCTAATCAATTAAAAGACTATTCTTACATTATCCTCAGCAGTATTACTGTTTATTTAATACTTTTGCCAATATAAACGAGCGATACATTTTATTTTTTATTTTTAACGCTTTTTATAATAATTATTATCACTAAATCACTCTTTTCGTCAGTTATCGAGTCGTGTCGTTGTCAATAATGTCGTCTGATTCTGACTGATGTCAGATGTAAAAAATGATAGGAATTTGTATTAAAATGATAGGATTTGTAATGATACGATCTGAAAACGAGCAATTCAGTATTCTTATTCAAAACACCAAACACCCGCCACTGGATCAAAATATGCCCGCACGGCACAACCCGGCACGGTGGGAAGCCCCTCTCATACAATTTCAATTACGTACATAAGCTAAAAATTAAAAATATGATTTAGAACATTTTACTTTTTGTATACAGAATCCACTGTTTTTAAACTTACCTGACCAAAAAATAAAATAAAGTAGTAGCCGACAAAAAAAGTTCCGTGGAAATTTGCCATGTCACGTTTCATAAAACATTTAAAATAATCGACTTCATTTGAATGTTTAAAATGAAAAGTACCGGTGGACCGAGCCGTGGCTTAGTATGTTTATTTCGATTTTAAAAGATATATAAAGGAAACTCGTGTTTTCTTTATAACTAATTTCGGCTTTTATTGTTTAAGATTCAGTGGAATTTTTATTTACTATGATGTAACTTTAAATGGACAATGCAACACATTAATTTATTTTAATCTTACACATTTCTGTTATTGTAAATAAATCATAGAAATTAAAAAAAAATAAAAGTAGTATTTTTTCAAATACGTTCCTAATGAAGGAATTAATATGCGATCACAGGTTAATACAGTAGCAATCAACTACACAGCATTAAAACAGCACAGTGTATGTAAGGGGTGTGATTTATTTCTTGGTACTAAATTAAGTCATTCTTCAAGTATAAGTAAAACTTCAGCATGGGCATACTCTCTAACGTACTATCATATGACGGATTAGCTGAAGGCAGATAAGTCATATTCTAGCTTACATTGCTTACTATAAAGATTGTTGTAATACAATTTAATTTTAACTAGTGGTCGTCCAGTGGAAAATTTGTAATGTGCAGGTTTCAAATGATTTAGGCCTAAAAAACTTTTAGCTGTGTGAGTAACGAAGGACTTCTGGAAAAATAAATATGATATTTAGATGTTTCTTACTCAGGATTAATGCTGTTCCGGGACACTCTGTATAAATGGTCGTTAACGTGATTGTAAATTTACATTTTAAATAGTCAAAATACAATAGGTATTGCGCAACCGTGATATGTTAAGTCATTAACCTTGGTTCAGTAATAAAAACTACACCGTATGCTTACTCAAACAAAACAAAACTTGCTTACTGTACAGCAATAAATCACGTAAAGAACAAAACAAAAGAAAATATAGACTAGAATACTACTGATACCGTAGTCATCCTAGCTTACTACTACATGATGTTTCAGAACAGAAGTATGGGGATAAAAATATTAAATAACTCATAAAACACCATAAAACCATAGTACAGTACTTAAGTCTTTCTGGTAATAATAACAATGATAAAAATAAGATAAAGATAACAATGATGTAAAACACCTCTTATTATTTCTCTTTGTTCTATTCTTTCTTTGGTTTCTCTCCATCCACAAGTTGTCATGGTTACTAATCACCCAACGACCCAACCACAAAATATTGTAGTGTTGTGACAGCAGACAGGAGCAGACGATTTTTAGTATGTCAGTGTCAGTGCAAGATTGTCAGTCTGTAGGTGCAAGCGTATAGCTTGACCTTGACGCTACTGATCGATATTTCTCCGTTTTGCTTCCATCCTATTTTTGTCAAATGAACTGTATTTCAATAATTGGGAACCTACTGCACATAAAAATTACCGTAAATAGTTAAATATATCGTTCATATCGAAATATTATACTGAAAAACACAGTTCATAAAACATTTTTTTGGGGATTTGTGAGGTTATATAATATACTGTATAGTATTTAGACATGCATCATGATGATGCGACCCCAGTTAAGCGAGGTATTTGCAAGTTAAAGTTACAAATAGAAAACCCATTATGGTTTGTATTCAATGACCGATGTATTAAACAAAATAAATTATAAATTATTTTGATATTAATCAGAAGCATTTATTACAGCTTGCAGCACTTATTGGTATATATAAATATCCCAGTTACTATTACATAAAAAAAATAAAACACGAAATTGTGTGGCCATTCAATTTTTATAAACACAGTGTTAAACATTTGACTCTGCAGAATACCGGATGGTAAAGAGTGTTTGGTTTCAAGAAAATAAAATAAAAAATAGTTTAACCAGCTTTACTATTTATTTTGAAAAATAATAGATAGGAAACCATAAGGATAGGTATGGGATTGAACTGAAATAATTGCAGGAAAACTTAAATCGTTAAGTCCACAATCTGTACATCGTTAGAGAGCGAGAGCGAGAGAGCGAGAGAGAGAGAGAGAGAGGGGGGGAGAGAGAGAGAGAGAGAGAGAGAGAGAGAGAGAGAGAGAGAGAGAGAGGGGGAGGGAGAGAGAGAGAGAGAGAAAGAGAGAGAGAGAGAGAGAGAGAGAGAGAGAGAGAAGGGGGGAGAGAGAGAGACAGAGATTTGATAAGGAATCTGAAAAGTAAACAAATAATCGTTTCTGGCGTTTGTTATATTGTACTCCCCTCCCCCCCCCCCCCGGCATTTGCACTCGTGACCACTTTTTGTTGCTTCCTTATCATTCATCCGTCCCAAAATAGAATTCCTGTAATAGTTTGTTTGTAAAATTAAAATTATTATAAAAATCTTTTATCTTTCGAGTGTAGTTTCATGGTTATTCTTATCAGATAGAATAATATCGTTGTCATATGTAATAGTTACTCCTTCGCGTTACGCAATTGCGTAAAAAAACAGTTCCCGTATCTCGGACAAGATTCACGTATATTTCTCGAGATAAAGAAAATCCGTATAGTTCCCGGTCCTTGGAAACACTGTAAATATTGTACTAGGATATAAAATATTGTATAAAGGAGAAGTTGACGAAAATTTAAACTGAAGGTAAAAAAAAATAAAATAACTTAAAATATGAGATGATGAACGGGTAGGATCAAGATTCAACCAATTATAATTAATTAATATTCGACGATCCTTATTAGAGGTGCATCATATTTATTTGGAGTATGAACATGTTTAAACATTAACACGTAGTTAATCACTATCCCAACTCAAATAGTAACAAGGAGTAAACGAAGGTTACAGACCGCTGGGTGTTACCGCTACAAAGTAGGGTAGGGTGCCGTACTTGGCTACTACTCCACGATAGAACACACGATGAGACAGTCTCCGCATTGGTATTGCAGTTACGCTTATCGACACAGGCAGCAGCACCAGTTTGCTGTTTTCATACGTATAAAGTGCACGGGAAGCCATACCTGACTGGCTTATGGGAGAGCTGACTGGCTTTCGGGCGGGTGACTGCCACACCGAGTAAATTACCAGCGCACTGACTGCCAAACCGGGCGGGCACAAAAGTATATATATATATATATATATATATTTGTGATGACTTTCAATGGAAAGTCAACTTAACCACTACTCTAGATCCATCCGTTTATGGTGTAGCACCAAAAATCAAGCCACAAATTGTCGATAGTTGCCTGGTTTTATACTGTGTACTCTATTACCCTGATTTAGTTGAGTCTAGACAGGCTTTACTAACTTTGGTACAACAATACTTCTTCACCAGTGCAATGTATTCTTCCTGGGTAAAAGATTATTCACAAATAATGCCAAGGCAACACTGCCTACAATGACTATTGACTAGTTAAATTCCAGATACCTACCACAAGGCCCAACACCAGATCTAATTGGTTTATAACTGGTTTATACACAGGAACTGTAAATAGTTAGAGGCAAAAGTCACCAAACAAGTGTGAATTAGTCATGAAAAGACTAAGGCCGATTCTTTATTAGAGGGTTGTTCCTGACTTTGCAACTCGGGCCTTGTTACTCATTAGATTCTATGTTTGCCAAGAGTGCCTAGAAAAAAATGACCACAAATAATTGTGACAGTACAGTTGCAAAAATCACAATCAGGTTAATTCCAGTTGGGCACTACCACTTGTTGTCACTTCCTACGCCCTTGTTAGAAACTTATAATTGCTATCTTACGTGCAAAGAATTATGTATAATTGGAGTAGTGGTGACGCCATTGTATTTCTTAACGAAATTACAAATAAAGGAAACTGTATATTGTCTATTGTTTAGTTTGTTATGATTATAATTGTTTCATACAAGTTATTTCCTGTTGTAGGCAGCTAAAGAAATTCTTCAACTGTGGAAAATGTTCCTGAGCGTAGATGCAGTCCAGGTGGAGATAAACCCTCTGGTAGAGACAAACGAAGGAGAAGTGGTTGCTGTTGATGCTAAAATACAGTTTGATGATAACGCTGAGTTTCGCCAGAAGGATATTTTTGCATTCAACGAAACCAGTGAAATGGACCCTAGAGAAGTGGAGGCTGCGAAATCGAACCTCAATTACGTTGGCCTAGATGGAAACATAGGCTGTTTGGGTATGTATCAACTAGATAAAGCTTAATTTTTTAGTATTCAAATCATGTAAACCAAATGGCGCTTTTTTAATAGTCAGTTTTTTATCTCCTCAAAAGTAGGCATAGCATCTAGTATTGTATAAACCAAAATTCAATTTATTATACCTTCTTCTAAACAATTAAGAGGAGAAATGCATTTTATTTAGCAAACATTGAAACATAATCCAGCTGGCCAAAGTTAGAGTAAAAATGTACACACAAGCTGCAAGATACTAAGAAAGAAAATTTTGAAACACCATATTTACATTGCAACAAGCTTTTATCTTGTCCTTGAGGTGAAGCATCACCAATTTCAATTACCAGCCAATGACATAAAAAATACTCTTCCTTGATAAGGCTTATCTACTCATCAGAAAAATATGAAGGTGCCTCCTGAATAGTGAATCAGCCCATTAGCTCAGCAACTGATTTAACTTGTGTAAATCAGACAATTCAATTATTGTATTTCAACAAAGCAATAAATTTCAAACTCTTCTGCCAGTCCACCGATACTAGTTTTCTAGATTTTCTTGCGAATGATTGATTTACCTATCTTGACTTTGCTTATTTTTTATTGAAAGTGACTAATAAAAACACATCATTATTTAGTAAACGGAGCTGGGCTAGCAATGGCGACGATGGATATCATAAAACTTCATGGTGGGGAGCCTGCTAACTTCTTGGATGTTGGAGGTGGTGTGACTGAAAACCAAGTTCTGCATGCTTTTAAAATCCTAACCTCAGGTGAGAAAACTTGAACTTCTCATTTACTAATGTTGTTATCATATATATTGTTTAGTATTGATGAGAATGAGAATAGTATTGTGATGTGTTGGTACTAATTTTACAGTGTGTATTGGTTCCTTCCCAAAATCGATTCTGCATACCGGTAGCATTGGTGCCTGCTGAAGTAGTACTCATTCTTTAAGTAGTTCCCAATTCAGTAAATTCAATTCCAACCCACATTCATTTAGTTAGTTATCTTGGCCAATTCAAGCAATATACCAATTTCAGTTCTCTAGGTTTTGGAAGGATATTTTTAAGGTAATTAGATCAATTAGTAATAATAATAAAAATGTTTATTTGTCATAAGGATACATTAGATCATCGACAAAGTCAAAATCATGATCATACATCAATCGTCCAACAAAACAAAATCAAAAACATTTTCAATATTTTGAAAAAAACAATAGCGCTTAATAACTAAAATAAAAATATGTACATATGACTAAACAAACAACAATAATTTAGGACCTGATAAAGCAACAGGTGAGCAGCAGGTTTATGCAATCAAAGATTAATTTGGCTAGACTTGAAAAAATCGTCCAGGCTATAAGAAGGGTTGTCTAATAGCCAATTATAAAACAAGGACTTAAATTTTTCCTGCGGATAAGCATCAATATTGTGTTTTAAAAAGTTATATACTTTAGTTGATAACACTATGTGGCTCTTGCTAGTCTTACTCAGACGATGTGATTCTAACAAGGCACTATTTTTAAATCTGGTATTGTGATTATGATTATTGAATTTTAGGTGATGGGGTTTTTTTAAGATATAAAGGGTAAGATCATAAATAAACAAATTTATTACAGTTTAAATCTTAAAATCCTTAAAAAGAGGTTTGCAGTGCTTGTCTGACTCTGATCCATTCATAGCTCTGACAGCACTCTTCTGTAGGATTAAAATTTCATTAATTCTTCCACACCCACCCCAGAATATCAATCCATATCTCATTACAGACTGAAAATATGCAAAATAAGCCGATCTCAAATAATTCTTTGGAATTACATCTTTGAGACGACCAAGAAGAAAAATTACTTGAGATAGTCTAGTGGACAAATAATTTATATGATCATTCCAGGATGGTTGATTATCAATATGAAGACCCAAAAATTTTGTAGTGACAGCACTATTTTCATTATTTAAGGCAGAATTGTGTTTCAATGTAAATTTTATTTCTTGAGTTTTACAGTCATTCAATAGAAATCCATTGGCATGAAACCATTTGGATGCATTTAATTTTGTGAGATGGACTAAATTTTTAAGTTCAAGTTGGTTATTGTTTCCATGAAAAAAAAAAGTTGTATCATCCGCATACAGAATAGTTTTTGTATTTATTGCCATTGGAAGGTCATTAATGTATAGATTAAAAACAGAAGTGGGCCAAGGACGGATCCCTGTGGAACGCCCCAATTTACTTCCCTTTCTTGTGACTTTTTCCCATTAGAATTTACTATTTGTTTCCGGTTTTTTAAATAAGATGAAAGAAAATTTAGAGAAGATCCATTAAACCCATACAGTTCTAACTTTAAGGAAGGTATGTGCAATACCTATATTATTATATTCGTTCATAGTCTCAATACACAACTTGTTAAACAAGAATTTATTTAATAACCTTAACATCACATTTTTTACCCTAAAAAAAATGGGTATACAGGGGTAATTTTTAAGTAAGAACCGTATTTGCCCATAGCTACGTAGTTTGTGTGTACACCGCATCAGGGTAAGTAAGGAGTACTCCTCACCACTTACTGGCATCATTTGTGAACAGAATGGCACCTTGCAGCTCTGTAGCTGACACATACACTTCGCTGTGTGATTTTAAAATTATAGAATAACTGCCGCGTTTGAGATAAGGTCAGTAATATGTTTTGGACCTCAAGAAACCTAGACGAAGCTGATATTCATTGCCTGACGACTGAAGTTTATGACCCTAATGCAGTAAATAGAGGCGAAATTGCCTAAATGGGTCCAGGAGTTTAAAAATGACCATGCAAATTTTATTTTTGGAAGGAATTGTGTTTTTTGTGTTTCTCCAAACCTTTCACACAAGACCACAAAGGAAAAAGCTTTTCACGGCCATTTTATACGCCATAACCCATTTCCGCACGTTACCTTCACTCATTGCATTACTAGTCATTTAGTTCAGTGTAGTTGTTACTTTCATAAAAAATACTTGACGTTCAATATCAATATATCGGATATATCGGGTATATTGACGCAAACCCCCCAAATCCCTTTTTTGGGGAGGGGGCATACATTTTAATCTTGCCCCGGGTGTCTATTACCCTCAGGGCGGCCTTGACCATAGCCTTCAGTCATCTGGCGATGAATGTTGGCATCGGATATGTTTCTCATTATGTTATTAAAAACGTATCACTGACCTTATTTTCCATACGGGAGGAGATTCAATAATCTTAAACACAGCAAAGCGTACACATCAGCTACAGTTCTGCAATTGGCGTTATTCCATTCACAAATGATGCCAGTAAGCGGCGAGGAGCCTCGTTGTGGCTTACACCCAAACTACGGTGTATGCCAAAAGCTACATGGAGAATGTAGAACTGTTGATTTTATTTTTGTCTAAAATGAATGTGCCTGTGGTATTGTATGGCGACATTAATATCGATATTCGCCTTAGAGAGCCTTTACCTCTCCAATTTCTGGATGCTCTCCGCTCTGTTGACTGCTATTGTGCAAATGAGAAGCCTACAAGAGGACCCGCCTGTCTCGACAATGTTATTACCAACTACCCAAGACAACTTCTAGATGTTAACGTTACTTCAGTGCCTTTATCTGACCATCAGGCTCTGGAAATTAAGCTAACGCCCACTGACTGTAGCAACAAACATCAAGAAACGACTTCGAAGATTACTCGTTGTTTTAGCCAAAAAAACAATGAAAACTTTATGTCCTACATGCTTAACACTGATTGGCTCACTATCAATAGCGACTCCTGTGATAGTTTTCCTGAACATTTTTTCATGCATTTCTTTCAGAGCTTTGACACTTTTTACCCTGTTAGAATTATGAAGTATAATGCGAAGAAATCTCTTAAGCTTGGGCCTACCTGGTTTAAGCAAGAACATCAACAAATGAGAAAGGAGTTATCGCAACTGTATGACTTCCTTCTCTGGGCTAAAAAATATAATCTTTCTGTGGATATTATTAGATTCAGGTATTTGGCTGCCAAACGAAGATATAAGAAAGCTCTTGTACAAGCTAAACTGGACCACAAAGTGACTAAAATTTCCCAATCAGACAACAAATGTAAAACAGCTTGGGAGATTGTAAACAACTCCAGGAACAGGCCTACTCGTAATGATGACTGCAACCTCACACCCGAAGATTTCAACTCGTATTTCATCTCATCTGTGGAAGATGTCAGTAAACAAGTCAACCTATCTCCAGAAAGAGTGTCTGATTTGCTGGGAAATCACCAACACCCAAACCCCATCTTCAAGTTCAAACCTGTGTCCTGTGATCACATAGAAAATATTGTTAAAAATTTGAAAAGTGGCCATAGCAGAGATATCTATGGTATCAGTGGAAATTTTATCAAGAGTATGTTACCTGTGATTGTTCTCCCCCTAACCCACTGTGTCAACGAATGCCTGCGTACAGGGCAGTTTCCGGATGTGTTAAAGCTCTCCAAAGTGGTTCCTGTATATAAGAGAGGTGTTAAAGATTGTGCTGCAAGCTACAGACCGATCTCCGTTGTACCGACCTTTTCCAAAATTATTGAAAAGGCTGTGAAGCACCAGGTGAGTGAATATTTTGAAGTGAATTCACTTTTTTCAAAATTTCAATTCGGCTTTCGGGAAGGTTTATCTTGTGAGGATGCAGTCGACCGCCTTGTTTCAGCTGTGATTGATGGCTTTGAAAACCACCATAGTACCCTGACCACCTTATGTGATCTGACTAAGGCGTTCGACTGTGTGTCTCATGAGATCCTTCTCAATAAATTACTGTATTATGGTGTAAGTGGTGTGGAGCTAAGTTTTTTTAGAAATTATCTGGCAAACCGCAGGCAACAAGTTTGTTTTAAAAACAGTCTCTCAGAGGTAACGGTAGTCAAAAGTGGTGTACCCCAGGGATCGGTTCTGGGCCCTTTTCTGTTCCTTGTTTTAATTAATGACCTTCCTGTAAATATTAGTTGTAACAAAGTCATATTTGCTGATGACACTACCTTTTTCTGTTCAGGTAACAATATTGCTGAGCTCTGTAATATTATGTCTGATGTGATGGCAGATGGCACAATCTGGTTTGAAGCAAATGGCCTCCTTTTGAATACCAATAAAACTCAACAAATATGTTTTTCCTTGTGCCAGTTTGATGTTCAATCTGATGTAGTTGTAGATTCTGTCGTTAAGCTCTTAGGTATTACTGTTGACACCAAACTTACATGGGATTCTCACATACAGAATGTTTGTACCAGACTATCTAGAGTGATTTCTCTTTTGTGGCATTTAAAGAAGCTTATCCCTAAAGTGTACCTGAAAAATGTGTATTATGCTTTGTTTAATGGAATAATTTCTTATGGCATTCGTCTGTGGGGGAATGGCCACAGTATTGATAAAGTCTTGCGCTTACAAAAAAAGGCGATGCGTATAATCACACACTCAGCTTTTAAAGCACACTGTAAACCACTCTTTGTCAGCGAAGGAATTTTGACAGTGATTAACCAGTATATTTATGTTTGCCTGTTGCATGTTAAGCAACATCTGCATGAGTATCCACTCAGAAGTAGTGTGCATGGTTATTGCACTAGAAGCATGTCCTCACTCAATCAGCCTTATGTTCGTTTGAGTAAATCACAATCCCAGCATCGCACTATGTATATTAATCTATTTAATAAGTTGCCTGTTTCTGCACATAATGTATCTTTCACTAAGTTTAAGTTGTCTGTTTACAATTGGTTGGTTGCAAGACCATTTTACAAGCTCGATGAATTCTTTGTATTGCCTGTTGATATTCAATTTTAAATTCTGTCTGTCTGTGATATAGCCAAGGGCTGAGTTGTTTTATAAGTTATTTATCTGTCTGTTTGTTAGTATTGTCTTTAAATTTTATACTGTTTTCTTGCCCCTGCTATGTTTTTTTCTAACTTATTTTAAACACACTGCATGTATTGTATACACATTGCACCTGTTTTCATGTTTGCTCTAGTCTTTGCATACCTATGTTTTTATAAACTTCAGTATTTTATTTTTAAGATGACTGTGATACTTTTTGCATGTACTCTGCACTTGTTTATATTTTATTGTCTATATTTATTTAGCCTTATTGCCTGTAAACTTTAGGCTACTATTATGACGTTCATCCATTGCATGTGTTGTACATAGCGTTAACGATGAATAAAAATTCTTGATTCTTGATTCTTGATTCTTGCTATACGCAAAAACAGCCCTTACTTAAAAAACTACCCTCGCAATTCTTGTCATTGTTTATTGTGAAAATATCCTTTTATTTGACATACTTAAATAAAGTATGTGAATAAAATCAAGATATTGCCACTACCAATAACACTCCTACTAAATATTGGCACAATAAAACAACAATACAATTCTGAGTAACATTTATGCCAAGTCATCAGCTTAAAGCTTAATATGGACTTTCTCAAATAATAAACTTGTCATTTAAGTTCCGCTTCCTCAGGGAATTTAAACTTTATTTCTCTCATGCACGCGTTATTCTGGTCCAGCGAAACGTCAGAAGAAATCCAAGGACAATTTTTTATGTTCATGTATGTATGTGTAACTGAGTTTTTGTGGTATGTACAATTTGAATAGTCCTGGATAACAAATTAAAGTGATTGAGGCCCACAAGATTGATCATTATAATAAACTTCCCCTAAAAACATGTTATTCAAAAATAGGATTTAAGCTCTTTGTGCTCGTTGAAGCTATTACTGCAGGATGGTAAATGTCTTTTACCATCCAAATCATGTAAGTAAACATCCTCTTTCTGATGAAGCCAAGTCAGGCTGGATCTCTGAGGTAGTGATGTGCGATACGGGTCAATGTATCGATACTGCGTATCGATACGTATCGGAACATGGTGTATCGATACGTGTATCGTATCGTATCGTCATGTATCGATTTTTACCCGTATCGGACAAAATATCGTATCGTATTGTTTATTTATAATTTAAAAAAATATATATATCTCAAATATACAAGCTGCAGAGACAAGTACTATGTTACTTACAAGCTTGTAAAGAGAGTTAGTGCTTGTAATCTTACCTCAGAAAAGCCGTTTCCTTCCTGTGTCTTTTTATTTGTATCAAACTCACATGCATAACATCCAAATTCCGGTAAACCCTCAAAATTGGAAAACATTTTGTTATTGTTTTCCTAGTTTTTACACAGGGATAATTAATTTAACCAAAAAGTACTTATAATGATGGTGGGTATGCCACTTACACATTAAATAGTAAAATATGGATAATGAGGGTCCCTACTTCCATTAATGGTGGCCCTAGTTTTGAGGTTATTTGCAAAACATAGCTGAAAATGAAATTACATGTTTTATCAATGTTTTTGAAGATGCTAGGGTAAAATATCAAATTTCCATTGCTACTTTTGAGGGGAGGAAGATGGGAAGACAAATTTCTTACCTTAAAATAAGATTTATATTAATGAATAAACAATACAATATTCGATACGATATTGGCTATAGGTGTATCGATACGGGCATATCAATACACTCCCACGTATCGATACAAAATATCGATATTTTGCGGTCCTCGTATCGATACGCACATCACTACTCTAAGGCAAGATAATATTACTATACCGATAAACAAAATAAAATAAAAAGAACATCAAATGCCTAAATGCAGTATGGACTAGACTATGAAAAGCAATTCTAACCTAGGTCATGGCTTGTATATTCTACCGATTCTCTACCTGCTTAAAAATTAGAGGTTAACCAGCTCCAAACAAAATTCCTGTATGTATCCTGTCAAAATATTTAATTGAATGGCGGGTCATATAATCACCCTGTTTCTCCTTACACACAATGTAAATATTTTTTATGATGTTTGACAAATCCTTTTCGTCTATCTAATTGTTAATATCAATTAACCGAGGAATTGTAATGGTTCTTACAGTATTTTAATACTTGTCATAATTTTCAACTTACGGACCATAATTTGGAATGTGTTTTCAGATTCAAATGTCAAATCCATATTGGTCAATGTATTTGGTGGAATTGTGAATTGTGGGATCATTGCCAAAGGAATTGTAAATGCTACCAAATCACTTCAACTGCAAGTCCCTCTAGTTGTTCGTTTAGAAGGTAAGTTTGGTTTTATTAAAATTCTACATAAAGACCTACATCAAGTATATATGAAAGCTTAGTTATCCTCTAGATAAGCTGAGTTGTCTTAGATCAGATACTATTTTACAATTTTATTATTTCTTTTAGACTAATAAGCTATCTTGCTATCTAGATAACAGATAACAGATTTTTTTTAGAAAGTATTGAGAGACCTTCGTACTCCTTTGTGTTTTGGAACTGAACCGATATATAGTTCAGAATTCATTGGCCTACTTCTGGATATTTGCTTTATATTAATAAAATTATTTTGTTACCTTACAATATCCTTGTTTGATGTTGGTAAACAAACTACGTGTTTTGTGACAGCTGCCACATCATCAGGTTTATCCTCTTCTCAGGTTCGTCATAAACTTAAAATAGAAGAAACTCAGAACACACGTAAAAAGACATGTCAAGGCAAGCAATCCTCAAAAATTTACATCTTTATAAATGGAAAAGTCCAAAGAAAAGATAATTTTTTCAGTCTTTTTCCCATTAACAATTAAAAGATTAGAATTAAACCATTCCATTGCTACTTCTAAGGCTTGGTTCTCAGTTCTTATTAGATCATCTAGGTGTTTTTTACTGTTTTTTTTTCTCGTATCTACGCCAGTGGCATTTTATTTATTTTTTTTTTTTGTAATGAGGTAATTTCAAACACTTTTAAGGGAAAGTGGTCCTAACCCATTAAAGTTTTGTTAAGAAGTGTGGTGTCATCTACATATAACACTGTGGTACAAGGAATATTTGAAGCAAAATCGTTCACAGCAATAATAAATAAAAGAGGTCCAAGGACTGATCCCTGAGGCACGCCCATTAATGTCGTTCTAAAGTCAGACTTATCACTGCCCTGTACCACCATTTGTTCTCTACCACTCAAGTATGATTTAAATAAATTAAGTTCTTCACCTCTGACATCGTAGTGAAACAGTTTGTCTAGCAGTAGCTCATGATTCATACAATCAAAGGCTTTAGTAAGATCAATGAGTAAGGCAGATGATAACAGCTTATTTTATAAGTTTTCTAACACTGTTTCTATCACATTCTCTACTGGTTTTACTGTAGTTTTACCTTGCAAGAAAACAAATAGATGAAACGATGAAACCAATAGATATGGAAAACCCCCCAGGGAAGGGGGGGGGTCCAGAAAATTTTTTTATAAATTAGATACAGAAAACTGAGATTTTATAGATCCTGAGACATAAAAATACTATCAAACTTAGCTTTTTAAATTTAAAAACAAGTTTTACTGGAATAATAAATTACGAATTTTTCAATTTAAACTGAGTTAACGTTTCCGACAAACACTGGTCCTAACATCGGCTGCAATTAATTGACAATTGCAATGCAGCATTTTTTTAGCACTACAGTACTAAAAACTGAGGGGGAAGTGAACCTCCTCCACCTTTAACTTAGTCTCTGGCTCTTATTTGCTTACGTCTAAGAACGGTATAAAAGTATAAACTAAGGATAACAACTTTGAGTGGATTGAGATGAACCACAGACAAACATAGGATTGTCTTTGGTTGAACGTTGAACACTATGATTTTTCGTCAGTTTAATGCCACTATCACTGCTAATATGAATCTCCTGATAACTGACAAAAGCTCAAGCTCACATCGCGAGTCAAGACAAAACTACTGACTGTACTGAGTGAGGGAGAACTGAGGAGTGACGAGGCTGAACGGCCAAACGGTGGTGGGGGGTTGTGATGTGAGTACTGAGTAGTGGGGAGTGTATGGCGGAGCGCGGAGGGGACGGGGCAGTGACCTTGGATGAGACAGTTGGTTTGGTAATCGCCGTGCGGTGCCCCAATCTAACATTGATGGGTGTTGGGATTGTTTTGGTGTTAAGAGAAGCGCTTTTATTGTTATTTTTCGTTTTCAATTAAAGTATATTTAATTGTATATATTATAGGCTCCTGAGGGGGGACCGTCAGGAGGATATATTATAGGTTCGTCCCCCCCCCCGTCGGTGCGCCCCTGCCAGCTGGCATATACAAACGGGATTCTTCTTCAAACAACCAGTGCTCATTTATCGTTAAAATATCACATCTTAATCTACTTAAAAAAACATATATTAAATTTAACTTATTTCTCATTGACCGGACATTACCGGACCTGAGCTTTGCGTTTCATATCAAGTAAAAATCGTCAAGTTAATAAAAGTTCAACAAAAACTATAGGTTTTTTAAATTCTGTTAATCCCTGGATTAAGAGATGCTAATCCCAGGATTTCAAGATATTAAAAACCGGCTAGGATCCCAGGATTAGTGATCCCGATATTGAGAGCCTTTATTTCTTATCCCAAAATGTTAGGCATGCATAGATTCTTGTGTGATATAAAATAATATACTGTAAAAAATTGCTTGTCAAATATGCTGAGGTTTTCATCTTCTAAAACAAACTGTTTATTATTACAGGTACTAATGTGGAAGAAGGAAGGAAGATATTGAAGGAGTCTGGGCTGAAAATTGAATTTGCAGCAGACTTTGAGCAGGCTGCTCAAAAAGCCGTGGCTAGTCTGAGAAGATAGCTCAAACTAAAACTTATTGATAGCACAATGTCTAATATAATGACTGATAGGTGTAAGATATCCTCAATACTAGGTAGTAATAGTATATTTCATCACTAAGGTTTAAAACTACTCTCTTGACATGAGATGACAAAGTGAAGCCCGAGTCGGGAAATGAGTGAGGGTTGAAAATACATTTAGGCCTGTGTGATGAACTATATTTTTTCATACTGCACCATTCATTAAGCCAATTAACCCATAAAACAAAATTGTTGTTAATTGTTTACCTTTAAAATCTTTGTTAGAGAGATTGGCAGCCTCTTTTACCTCGCAGTTGCCTTTCCACTTGGGTCACAGAGGCCTGTGCGTGGAACGTATCCAGCAAAGCAAGGTGTGAGCTGTTATAGTACTAGGGTGAAGTGTACGGACCAGGGTCCGAACCCACGACAATGCTGCCTTCCAACTCGGTCATTGATTTACCAAATTAGCTTCCAAAATGGTTTCCATCTAATTTCTCTGTTCATTTTAATTAAACACATGTCCCCCTTATTTAGATATATAGGGTATTACTTCGCTATCACAATTAAGAATTAAAATTAAAATTCAGTAATTATTATACCCGCAATAAACATATGTTTAAGGTAAAACTTTGCTTGTGGCAATGCACAAGAAATCATAATATTATAATAATACTGAGAACTTGATGACAAACGTACAAAAGACCGTGTTAACCTATGAAAAAACTCAAGAATCTCTACACTGAACTCCTACCACTCAGTGTATATATACTTATGTTATTTTACTGTTTTATACTACAAGTTTTATGGTATACAGAATTAACTTAGGCCTACAGTGTTAATTTACTGTGTTTTTCTATATACGGTATATACAGGGTGAGTCTTCTAAGCTGTCCTAAACGGATTACAGACAAACGGCTAAACATACAGTGATGAAACAAAACTTTTCCCCACTAATTCATACCCAAGGAACAACGTAAAAATATTTTTACCATTTTTAAAATACAGGGTGTTCAAGAAACTGGGGGTCATGGGTTCGAATCTCAGAGTTTTCAAATGTAAACATATGTCATGTTATGCATCATTTTAAGGCCCTAGACTAGACAAACAATTTAGTGAAAACAGAACTCATTTATCTTTGTCCGTTTCAAAATGGCGGCCATTTTTATAGAAATATTGATACTTACAGAATACCCTGTATCTTGACAACCACTAAACTTATTTTCGTTCTGTTTAAAAATTCTAAATCCTCGTAGGTTCACCTTTAATTTGATATACAACAAGTCAACATTTCAAAAACTAAATATTTTTTCTATGATTTTAATTTTTTTTTAAGTTGGTAGCCTTGTAAATGAAAATTTTTAAATGGCAACATATGGTAAATTGTGTATTATTTTTAAGGTCTTGTAAAAACAAACAACTTTTAAATTTAAACCTACCGCCTATCTTTGGTCGTTTTCTATTAATTAACCAAAAACTCCAATTGCCCATATAAAACCCATATGGGAATAGTGAATCTGCATCCACTAATCTTCAGTACTGCACCTGTATATTGTGTATTTGAGTTGTGAAGTCAATAGACAGTTCTTGAAACTTTACATCAGTGAATATGTAAACAAAAATAATGAGTTCATTTATAGTTTTTGAAGGCAATAAATTGTTATAAATTTTAATCTTAATCTTTTTTTGGGGAGATTAGATTACAATATATCATTAGGAACACACACACACAAATAGCAATAAGTTGGAAATATTTCTGGTTAAGTGTAATCACTTGTTTGTTTTGGTTGTAGATACTAGAGTGTGGCTGATCTTTAACCGTTACAGTTAACTAAATTGTGCCTTTTCCCCCTGAATTGAAGTTTTTTTTTTCAATTTTAAAGCTATGCTCAACTTACTCTTTATTTTGTGTTAGTTTTTAGGACTGTTATTTGGCCATAGCATTTATTATTAATTTACTTGTTTTTACTCTTTTTATTTACACATCTATGAATCAAGACTGAATTCTTTATACTTGAAGTATTGCGATCTATGTTGTACTCTAATTTACTTCCTTTTTACAAAGATTTTGTTACTCTTAGTGATAATCAAGGTTCAAAGTATACTATAGGCCTACTTGTTATTTGTTGTTAGCAAAATTGTTCTGATAATTTTTATATCAATAAAGTTGTGTTGTTATTAAAAATTTTGTTTTCTTACTTTAACCAATCCACCTTCTTGCTTTCAACCAAGAATTTCTAATGTTTGGAATTGAGCCATAAAAATATACAGTGTGTAAATTAAGTCTTGAAACAAATCTGTATTTTTAAAACCGAAATAGATAGAAATATTGTATTTGTGGCATTGATTGTTAACAAAGGTGCCGTAATATTTTACATAAAAAATTAAGGGGGTGACTTATTTTTTTTCAAATAGCAACCCCTTTTGAGTGACCCCTCATTTTGAAGGATTTGTCAAAAGAAACACAATGACACAAACCCGAGGTGGATATCTCACCCCTAGGCAAAATGGCAGGTATTTCAAAATTTGATTTTTAATGTATATGAAAAAGCACCAATTCCACAAATATGGAAACAAATCTGTATTTTTAAAACCGAAATAGATAGAAATATTCTGTTTATGGAATTGATTGTTAACATAGGTTCAGCAATTTTTACATCAACAATATTTTTTAACCCCTTTAACAGGGTAGGGGGTTGGGGTGAAATATAAAAAAAAAAACAACGCCTATTGAGTGACCCCTCATTTTGAAGGGTTTGTCAAAAGAAATACAATGACGCAAACCTGAGGTAGATATTTCATCCCTAGCCTAAATGACGGGTATTCTAAAATTTGATTTATGTGAAATATCACCCAGTTTACTTGTTTATGGATATATGTTGATAAAATTTGGCAAATTAATTTATTTCAACCAAAGTTTTTTCCTATGTCCTGTTTTTCCAAAGTCTTTGAAAAAATTGTGAAAACTCAACTTACAGATTATTTCGAACAAAATAATTTACTAAATCCATCTCAGTTTGGTTTCTGCTCAAAATCCAGTACTGAAAAGGCTATTACCAGGATGATTAACTGCGTTGCGGAGGCCTTGGATGGGTCGCAGCGCGCAATAGGCGTGCTGTGTGACCTGTCCAAGGCTTTTGACTGTGTTTATACTGATATATTGCTAGAAAAATTAAGTAGACATGGAATTAAAATGGTTCATTTCATATTTAAAAAGCAGTAAACAAAGAATTATATTACAGAAATGCCAAACTAAATATAAGTCAGAGTGGGGTTATACACACTACGGAGTTCCTCAAGGTTCCATTCTTGGACCTTGTTTATTTTTAATTTATGTAATGTTACAAAAATACATACTTTTCAATATGCAGATGATACTGCTTTAATCTGCACCGAACAAAAAACATTGGATTTTAAGCAAGACTTAATTACTAATGAGTTTAAACTCCTCGGGGACTGGTTCACAGTAAATGGTCTATCTAATGTATCAAAGACACAACTAATTCACTTTTCAGTTTCTACAGTAATGAGAATAGAGACATTGTTGTAAATTTGAATCAAACATCAATTTATTCTCAAAACTCAGTCAATTACCTGGAAATTGATATAGATTGGCAACTTAATTGGCAAACATACATTAAGAATCTATCAAAGAGACTCAGATCAGCAATACTTGTTCTTCGGGTAATTCAACATAGGCCTACTACAAATTTAGACACACAATTAGCAGTATACCACGCTTATTTTTCTTCCATTATGAATTAAGGTTTAACGGAATGGGGTTCTTCTAGTCATGCCGAACAAATGTTTATCCTCCAAAAAAGAGCAGTTAAGAGTCTTAGCCAAAGTGTTTCGAAATACTCACAGTAAAGAGTTTTTCATTCAGTTTGAAATTCTTACTTTGTATAGTTCTTATATCTTTAAATTGGCTTTAATAGTTAAAAGTGATTTTGACACATTCGAGGAAGATCAACATGAGCATCCTCACAACACTGGATTTAAAAACAATATAAAACGAGTTCAACACAGACTTAAAAAGTATTCCATTTATCTCCTCAGTACATGGGCCCAAAAAATATAACACATTACCTTCTTCAATTAGTGACACTGATTCATTCTCTAAATTCAAAAAGAAGTTAAAAAACCTTCTTTTGGAGAAGGCCTTCTTCTCATTGGAGGAATATGTGGAAGCTGTGTAGATGTTAAGACTCAGCATATGAAATTTATTTTAGTAATAATTTTAGTACAGAGACTATAAAATATTTTAACAATGACAAATCACCTGTCTAAATATGATGTTATGTGATTATTTTAAAATAAAAAATAAATAAATAAAAGTTTGGTAAAAAAACCCTTTTTACCTTTAGTGTAAAAGCTTATAACAGCTTTATTTGTGAATATGTATAGAATGAGGGCTCTAACAAATAGTCGTGAAATATTAAAAACTTTAAATTCGTCAAAAATAATATTTGGAATGATATTAAATGAAACATTCTTTATTTTACCAGGCAAAGATAGGGCCACATGGCCCTCCTTACACTTAACCTAACAAACTTAAATAAAAATACAATGCAATTTCTTAATCTAATATAAATCTATATATTTGACATATCAAGAACAGATTAAACAAAAATTCAATTTTACAAAATAATAATTATTATAAATAGAAAAGACAAAAGAAAATACGTTCACAAACACACGCGCCAGCAATCGGGCAAACACACAGAAGCCCTAGGACACGCCAGCCAAGACCATTTCCTCAAAGTAGAGATCTTTAGTGCCGCCACAAACTGGGAACGTTTATCAAGGGATTTAATGTGCAGGGGTAGGCTGTTCTAAAGACGGCAAGCGGTAACAACAAAAGCCCTGTCATAAGCGGTGGTCACATGATGAGGTATACGCAATGTGATCGAAGAAGAATGAGAAATTCGTAAAATACCCTGAAACACAAATTTAAAATCAGATGTAAAATATTTTGGGGAGGCTGATTTCAAAATTAAAAAGACCAATGACAAAATTTTGATAATTTAATTTCAAGATGTTTGCCTCATAGCCCAGGCAAATTGTTATCTGGGGTTACAAAAATTCTAGGATTCGTCCTAAGCTCCCATTTATACGATCCCATCCCTGGACACTCCAAAATGGTGTTAAGTGATTCTATTATATAATAAGATTTTACAACGAGAAAGATTTTATTAAATATAGCAAATATGTTATTTTTAGCTTAATAAACGAAAGATGATAATGGGACAGATGTACATAGTTTTACTATGTATTTAGCCTATTAAAAAAAACGATTGGGAGTTTTCGTAGATTTTCCCATATAACTTTTCTACTTCTCATCATTGGAATCTTAAGAATAAGGATTCATTCTTTGCTCTTATTGGTCTTGCCACAAATGGTGACATTCGGTACCATCTTTTTCGTCAGATATCGAATTGAGATAATCGTGCCCCTTGCAAGTCTTTCAGACAGTAGTGCATTATATCGCTGCATTTGAAAAGGAGCAAGATAATGTAAACCTTTTTTAACATGTACACGATAGTCGAGATAGGTAGACGGAGTTGAGAAGTTCTTGTCGAACCGATGGATTAACCGTAGTGATGGGAGTTAACCCATTGGCGTTAATTTTCCATACCTATATCTCTGAATTAAGTACACTTTTAAATGAGCTCTAAAGGATTGGTGGATGAGCAGCCCCTTTTGTTAGAATCAAAGTCAAAATTATCATCCACGCTGCAGATCATAGACAAATCTCAAACAGTAATTCTGAGACCGCTTGAGCATACCCGCCTGAATCACAGTCTGTCATTGATCAATGAGTTGCAGTAACTTAACTGAAGTGGGGCAGTACAAGTGATTTGATCAAATGAAGTTTTGCGTGTTGTGGTAAAAAGTTCTACAATCTTTTCAGTGAATGTATGGAGGCAAAAACATTTTTTGTGTGTCCGTAACTGCTGTGTCCCAAGTAAGTGAAGAGTTGAAAGATATGCCAAGACTCTTTAGTCGTAGTAGGGAAGTGCTTTGCCATTTACTGTGATGGGGTTTATTGAGTCTAAGTCAATTGAAGGACGAAGTCGAGGGTGGCAGATTACAATCGGTTTTGTCTTTTCGTGATTTAGTCTCAGTCCGACTACTCACCCAATAGACTCAGTTAAACTATTCGGTTGACATCTTGATTGATCCTTCTGACACAGTCATTTTCGTTGTTTGCAGTAAAATGGTCATAGATTTGTAGGTCGTCAGCGTACATGTGGTGTTTACAGTTGATCAAGGTCGAGTTTATGTCGTTGACATACAGTACATAGAGCAGTGGTCCAAGGATTGATTGATTGAATATTTGAGGGATATGTACAGGGTTTCCGAAGAGCTGCCTTTATTATTGATTTCTGAATGACATTAGGAGGTTATATAATCATTCGGTAAGCACCACCCCAGGCGAAGATGCCGTATTGGAGAATGGATTGCACATATGCACAGTACACTTCGTAATAAATCGAACGGTAAGAATACTGAGTACTGAGAAAACGTAAATAAATCTTCTCAATTTAGACAATGTTTGATTAACATGAGCAGACCATTTCAACCGGTGATCAAATACTACACCCAAATATTTGAAAGTAGTCACACACTCGATCGGCTCACATGCCACACACGCTACAACCTCGCCACAAGTGTGCGTTCTCAATTGTAGATTTGGATTATATACCCGTAAAATTATAGCCATATACTTAGTTTTAGTGAAATTAACTGTTCTGCTCAAACCAAAACTTGACCATAAGCAGTCCACGCTCAGCCCTGGAATAGACTTAATGAAACATATTATTGTTTCCATTTTGCTTGAAGATTAAACATTCTAGATATGTAAAGTTGGTAATTTAAATTTTCTAATTATGCTAGTGGGTTGAGTTTGAAAATAAATCTAAGAATAATATAGATGCAAAGGTGTGTTGAAAAATAAAATTTCAAATTTATACGATCAACACTCAAATGGCCAATGTTTAAAATACATCATTGGCTATTTCATGCATAGGCTACATACATGCTTTGAGCACCAATGATGTATTTTAAACATTGGTACATTAACTAGCCTAGTGTGTATTTATAATAAATAAATACATAAAATAAAATAACTTTTAACTTCAGAATTTCTCTAGATATTTGGGCCACATAAGATATTCCTGAAAATTTTCAAAGACTTTGATTTATAAAGATATATAAATCCAAGACAAGTCAGTAAGCCTGGTGTGTACCAGCCAGATAAGATGACTAACTATTAAAATGATTTCACACAGTTTACATGGAGACAAGAATATAGGGTTTGAATGAAAATAAGCACATCAAAGTACACAATTATTTTATTTACAGTTTTTAACTTTTCATTTTGAAACACTAATTTAATGGTGACATAACATAAAAAGATATAGTTTATCTGAAACAAATCAGATGCAGGTCAAAACAATCTTTGATCAGTATTTATTTACATAAATAATTACAATGGTGGAAGTTTTATGATGAAAGAAAAGACCACTAAAGTACATTTTGTACAACTTGATTTTTGAAGACTCATAAATCAATGTAAATAATATACATGGGAATAAATTATATTACAATCCCAATTAATTGTAGTTAATGCAATATTTACTACAGATTAGGTGTCTTTAAGAAAAATACTTTAATTCTTAAGCAACTGAGATCACTATGGATAAGACAAATACTTAGACTAGAAAAATGAAAGTTTGTAAGAGGCAGAAAACTTAAAGAAGCAGTTGTAAACAATGTACCTGATCAATAAATAAAATAACATATTATTTTCTCGTAATTTCTGATGTTTTAATTATCAAACTAATATGTTCTCTGTTAATATAAATCTACCAGAAAAATACAACTGTTAAAACAAATTTTTAGATATATTATGTTATAAAAGAACTTGATACTTTCAAGTATGATAAAAACCAAACAATGGATAAGATTAAGTGTTTGCCAAGGTATAAAAATGGAGGTGGAGATAAGTGTGGGGCTTTTGAGAACAACATCTAGAAGCAGAATTTTGTTAACTCTTGTTTCCGTGTTTAGGACGAATGTCCTTGTAAAGATGGCATAGGACAGTCAACCTGAACCCCTTAGTAAACTAATAAATAATTAATGATGATATCTAAGATAAAGTTGGCATTTAAGCTACAAGACCAGAGATTGGACCATTCTGACGAAAAAAAATTTAAATGCAAATGGCTTGTAGGTATATAAACCTAGAAGCTGTCCAACTGATACTTGTGATAAGATCAAATGTATGGGGAAAAATTGTTGTACGGACTTTAAAATCTAAGTATTAAATTATATTTTGTATGAATGCAGTTCAAGTTACTAATTCAATGAAAATGGACAAGCATCCATAATTTTTTTGTTTGAAAAATGAAATCTATTTTAATTTTTTTAATTCAACATTTAAATAAGCACGATACATATTTAGGCTGAAAAAATGTGTTGGTACAAGTACTGAACCAAATTTACTTTACGTGGGTACGTCTATTTACAATGTTTTTGATGGATTAAGTGCTCGATATTAAACACAAAATCTCAGCAGAAATCATGTGGATACATTATTATCAAAACTTGACGTGAGTTAAAGGCCGCTAGTTGAAAAGTGGTCATCCACTAGAAACTATATATTAACAATCCTGTATTGGTTATTTTCATCAAATAAAGGGGTCCGGCTTCGACTTGGTAATTGTCAACGGGTTATTAGTAAAAAAGGATGTATTATGTTAGAACATAAAACCTTTAAGTTTTACCATCAGGAAGTACCGGAGAAAACAGACAAGACACTAAAAATATTTCCTCCACTGTAGCTTGATAGCCTATTTTCTAAAGTCGGAAACAAGTTTAGTGGAAACTCAAGCTGAAACAGTCATTCACTGGTGTACTCACCCTAATTAAATTACCATCTAGTCGTGGACCTCTAAGAAACTAACTACTTTCATATCTCTGGGGTCCCGACCACCATGCAAGTTGTTAACGTACAGCAATATCTGCTAACACTGCCTAAATGAGCCCAAAAGTTTCTGTAAATAACAGTTAAGTGTTTCATAAAAAAATAAAATTTTAATTTATGGCTGTAAAATACAAATTCCATAAATAAAGTAAAGGTCTAATTATAATTTGTGAGAAAGTACCTATCCAAACAATTTATGTTCATCATTTCTTAAATTCAATCATTAATTATCTGGTAAACATTTTATTCTCTTCAGCGAGAAAAAAACTAAAATTTATTTAGAAATCCTAAATTAAATTTAAATTGGATAACTTTCTCATTGAACATTGATATAAAAATGACTGTCCCTGCAATGTCCAAAAGATACCATGATAGGAAAAAGTTAGATAATTTTGGTCTCAGTTACTTCATCTTCAAACAAAACCTTGTGTGTATCAAGTAGTGTTATTTTTATGTTAAAGATACCAAATTTTAAAACCTAGCCCCGTGTTGAATCAGGTTACCCACTCAACCAAAAATTTTGCTAACTGTGAAAAACCTGAATTGAACAATGAATTATGCGATGAAAACTTTAAAATAGGGAAGAGCCGAAATTTGATTTCTCAAAACATTCTACATTTTGATGATATTTAGAAACATTTGATCAGAGAATATCAAACATTTCAGTATTGGTTTGCAGAGAATCTGTCTATTAAGTTTAACAGCTGATCAGCATTTGATAGATGACAAAATTGTGATAATTTCGAGCAATAGCGATAGTATTGTTAAATGCCTTGAAAAAATCCTCCTCCAACAAAATAATTAAAATCTAGTCTGAAAAGAGGAATAACATTTCCTGAACATTTTCATAGAGTTCAAAACATGTTTAATCACTTTCCATAAGGTTGCCATGACAAACTTGAACAAATGGACGAATTGTGGTAGTGCAGGAGGCAAATGGCAATTGCAACTTAACTAGAGATTTCCAGAGAGCCAATGACCTGAACATTTAGCCACTAGGCAGGCCCTTTTTCTGATATTTTTTATTTCTCCAAGGTCCACTATGATGAGCTCAACACCACCTTTATCTGCCACAGCATCTTTGCTCATGTGTAATCGGCTCAAGTCACCGAGCCCTTATAAACATTACAATAAAAAATTTAATAATAAAAGTTTCTAATATTTTTATTTTTAACCATAACAATATTATTGTTAACTAAAAATAATATTCATGTTAGGCTAATAATTAAATATACAATATACATATATATAGCCTATCCTATGTCACTAGAACTGCAAAAACAAGGTAGAACCAAAAATCATAGACTAACTGAGTTACAAAATAAAAAATTCACTTGTGACAAACATAATTAGGTATATAAATACAAAACGTGGCTAATAATGTGACTTGACAAATATATAAAATTAAACTACAATAAAGCAATTCTAACCTATAATCTTTATAATCTTTGACAATTGATAGAAATAGACATTCGATCCCCATGAATGTTTTTAATCAAAATGAACATAGTTGAGGTGAGCCACCTACAGATTGGGCTGATATAAATGACTGATTTGTGTCAAATATGCAGACTTTTTATCATAGTAAAACTCATAGGACAACTTATTGTAAGCTTTAACATATTTATGCCCTTTTACTATCTCAGTATCAAAACATAAGGTAGAAAATATAATAAAAATTGGCGACAACTCGTTCATGTAGATGGAATGTCTACTTCAGTATACCACTCAATGCTATAATGTAAATACCGGTACTTCTTAAATCAATGCTATTCTATATTAATTTGACAAAATTAAATTTGATTTAAGGAGAAAAACAATTCATAAAAGATTATGCAAATGTATTATTACTTATATTATTTGATTATGAACATATTTCCTACAACTTCCACAAACTTTTTAAGTTTGTTCAAATTCACAATATAATTCAGACAATTACCAGTTGAGTTAACCTCCAAATATGAAGTGAAATATCTCAATTAATACTTTGAGGAATCGTGAAACTGTACTGGACTAATAAGGTGAAATTCTTATAAATAAAATAACTGTATTGATCCTATAAAAATAATATATCTATTTACATATGTCATTGATAAGTTAATGCACACAAATTGTTTATTTCCATAGGCAAACTGACACGTTATAATTACAAATTGGTGACACGAGATAAACAATGTGGTATGCAAACAGTTTTGTATCTATGAATAGTACTCCATAACAGATATTTATAAGAAACTAGTAACCACGATAAACTGACCATTCCTTGTGGATTTACACTGCTTATATTCAAACAACTTAAACATTGGTAAAATAAACCAAAGGACCCAACAAATGGAACTTAAGGACAGGAAAATCAGTTAAGATTTTGCACCTGTCAAACCTGGATCCATTGTGCGAAATACAATTTTTTGGTCAGTGTAACATATAGTTTGGTTGACCTTTGCTTTTGAGACTTTGTACACTTTAAAGTAATACTTTACTTCAAAATAGGTTTATGTATCATCGTTTGGTAGTGCAACAGAAATTCAGCTGTATAGATATTATACAGTATACTGTCATAGTAAAAAAAAATTGGAATGCAAAAAATATAGTCTGCTTAACATTTTGAATATTTCTGCCTTGGGATCAATCATTTGTTGATGATGAACTATTTTGTCAAAAGTATTGAGTAATAATAAATCAGTATATTGTACCTGGAGTTGTGATAGTGTAAATAACAATCGCCTTTGATATAGTAAAACAAAACAAAAATTAACATATAGGCGTAATGTTAATATGGTATCTAACAAATAAAAACTGGGAAAATACAACTAAATAGAATAGTACTAAGATAGAAAAAACCTTTGTGAAGTTAACTAATTATACATTTATCACAAGTTTCATTTTCACATTCATTCACACATGAATCATCATAATTCAGCAATACAAAATTCAAAATCAAGAACATATAGAATATTTTAAATCAAGTACACATATGAAAAAATCGAAAAACCTTAGTTCCTAAAAAAAACTATTAATTTCCATAACTTGAGAAATGTGGTCAATCGTTGAAATTAATGTGTACAACATACAAATGTTGTTTATAATGGAATAGAACATATAAATATAATTAAATATCAAATTAATTAAGTATTCTTGATTGTATAACCATTTAAACATTTTAATAAATAAAAAATAAATAAGAGTCAAAGTTCAAACAAAACATGAAACACATAATGACAAAATTCATTTCCATTTTAAATTGATTTGAAAAGGGGAAAAATATTATCTTTATCTGATTAGCGATTTCTGAGTTTCCTGATGTGAATAAATACATTGCATTGAGGTAAAAACAATATGCGATTGATCTGTATAGTAAAGTTCTATAAATACAATATTACTTAAAAGGCCTATAGCTAAGAAGGAAGGATGTGTCTGGGTGTTGTGTATTTGGTTATTGATCTGCCATGAAGTCATCTGCGTGTGTCATTTTAAATAGATTTGCTAGTTCAATGCTTTCATCAACACTATCTTGATTATCGGTTGGTTCTGTTTTGATCTGTAAATAAAGGACATAATTAATAGAAAGGTGTTCATTTTGGAAATATACCAAAGGATTGCATATATAGGGGCTAACTGTACAATCTGCAATCAACTTAGTGATTTAACAACAGGGTATCCAAATCAAATCAATTTATTCATCACAAAAATTCATAATAGAGAGGCTGAATATCAGCAATGAATATGTGACATGTCGGTACAAATCATGCATTATAAATAGCTTACACATAATAATAAATATATACAAATATTAAGATTACAGGTGACAGGATAAAAATGAATTCATGTCATAAGGACAAAGTGCAATCAGTTTTTCTGAAAGCACAAATCCAGCGTCCCAGCAAAATAAATGAAAGGATAATTCCAGGATTTCCAGGTTTAAAATACAATATTTCGAGGACAAAACTTTCCGCTCTAAATAAGCAAAACTGACTTGTTTATACCTGCAAGTACATTGAGAACCGTTTAGCGTGACTGTTTTCGTGATTAAAGCCACATCAAGATAATAATATTAAACTAAATTCACCATGTTATCAAATGCTAGTACTACGTAATTATTGACCTTAAAACTAAAATTAATATTTACTATGCTTTCTTTTTTCAATTATAAACTATGAGATGAGTTCTGGGGATTATTGTGTAATTCAGCTAAAGTTTTTAAATTACAGAACATTTTTTTTTAGAATAATGACTATACTAAGCTATCTACTTTTCAATAAAAAAACCTCGTCACCACCCCTGTAGTAGCAAACCTAAGTACTTATTTAAATAGGAAATAAATCTGACAACTTTAATATAAAGGATAATAGGATATATAGGATAATATATGGGGAATATTGTAGTGGAAATCTAGCTAGGTAAATGGTCTGCAGGTTTGTTACAGCGTGGGTATTTTTCAAAATTAACATGCATGAAAATACCAATTAATCATTTTTTTATTCACTTTGTACTGTTAAAACATAAGTTTTACAAGTATTTGACTTCCCTATGAGGTACCCTAACCCCCAACCTCAAAACCTAAGAGATCGTTTTCATCCGAGATTTTTGGTAACCGAAGTAGTCTCAAAAAACTCAGATAATCGACAGTGTACTGTGTCACCAATGCATGCTAATGTGTATGTCAGTTTGAATTTATTCTTTGATATGATCGCAGCTTGAGAACCTAATTTATTAATTAATTTGAGAACCTTTATAAAAAAATTAGAAAAATCAAAACTTTTACCTGTGACAAATCCATTTCCTCCTCTACAAAAGAATCATTCAGGAGGCATTGTTTACAGATGTAATCCTCATCTTCATTGACATCGTCCTTCCCGATGCCGACACAGTCCATGTGGAACCACTGTTCACAACCTCCATCACACTGGACCCAGTCGACTTCCGAGCCTGGGATACACAATGCACTAATCAAGCTCTAAACTCACAACACTTTTGTCTACAATGCTTTAGAATTCTCTTCTCATAACTAAAACTTTCTAATACAAATATTGAAACAGGTTGTAAATGAAACTATGACAACAATGGATAAAATAATTGGAATTATTTAGTTTTAAATTTGCTAAAAAATAGGGTTGGCCGCTTTTATACGAGGCCACTAGAGCAGGCAGGTTACTTGCCTCGCTTCTAATGTATTCCAAGTTCCTGACGCAAGTAAACAGCCCACCAACTGGCGATACGGCTTTATGGTTAAATTGCTTTATTTTTGTAAAAAAAAGTTTAAGAATTTTAGGTATTTTATGGATAAAGCAAACAATTAAAGGCTATGACATAATAATACAATTACCTCGTCACAGCTCTGAAGTTTCCATATATTACGGCCGCTTTGGCATCAAAATGCCATCCTCAGATATTATATACTATGAAATGTACAAAACACGATAAAAAACATATAAAACAAGAGACAGGTCTGTCGCGCACATGATGACCGATACGAGTACGGAAGCTGACTCGTGTGTGTGTGTGTGTGTGTGTGTAGTTTGACGACACCAAATCTGGCGGTCTGGCGGATATACATATCTGAGAATGGCATTTATATACCGAAACAGCCGTAATATATAGAAACTTAAGAGCTGTGACGAGGTAATTGTATTATTATACAGGGTGAATTTTAAATGAGTTCCCCCCCTACTTTTTTCTACATTTCTTAAGATATCAACTTCGGACCACGTCAGATGATTGTAGTGTAGTAAGTACTTCATTTTGACTGGATAAACATTTTTGGCCGCCATCTTGGATCCGCCATATTGGATACAAATTTTGTTTTTCAAATGTAAAGGTAGGGTTTCCCATTGCCCAACCCATTGTTACCCATTGTAGGGTGTACCCATTGTTTCAAACTAGAATTTTACGCTGATTACAATGCCGCAATTAGTTTTAAAAAATCTTGATCCGTTCTAAAGTTATGAGGACTTTTTATAACTTTATTTTTAGCCCATTTTAACATTGTGCATTTACAAACTAAGACCATAATCTCCAAATAGTGCTAGATAAAGATAAGTATACACCACCATTTATTGTCGACCTATTATCACTTGGTTATGACAGATGTATTTTTTTGGCCGCCATCTTGATCTGCCATTTTGAAATGTGATAAATTAATTTAAATATGAAGGTGGTGCTGTGACCCATCATTTCAGACTACTTTTTTATGCTGAATTTAATGCCGCAATCCGTTTTGCATTTTCATATTTGTTTTTTGAAATATTGGAAATTTAAGTAAGATAATTTTAATATTTCATCAAGAAAGCCTGAGAAACGAAAACGGATTATGGCATTGAATTCAGCATAAAAAAGTAGTCTGAAATGATAGGTCACAACACCACCTTCATATTTAAATTAATTTATCACATTTCAAAATGGCAGATCCAAGATGGCGGCCAAAAAAATACATCTGTCATAACCAAGTGATAATAGGTCGACAATAAATGGTGGTGTATACTTATCTTTATCTAGCACTATTTGGAGATTATGGTCTTAGTTTGTAAATGCACAATGGACGGGATTGAATTTTTGGTTCGGGACGGGACGGGACGGGATATTTATTTCCTTCCCGATTTTCGGGACGGGACGGGACGGGATTTTTTTCTATGCATAAAAAGAAAGTCTTAAGTATTGCAGTTACCAAAAAAGACATACGAAATCAATTTTTACCGTTTGTGGCACTGATCTATAAAAACCAAAAAATGGGTAACAATTTACAGGTACCTATAGAAACTTGTGACTCGTGGTCGAAATGACTCGCGGTCACGGGGTGATCATCGGTATGACTCGTGGTCACGGTATGATCGTCGGTATGACTCCGCGGTCACGGCGTGATTATCGGAATAACTCCGTGGTCACGGCGTGATCGTCGGTATGACTCCGCGGTCATGGCGCGATCGTCGGTATGACTCGTTGTTACGGCGCGATCGTCGGTAGGACTCCGCGGTCACGGCGCGATCGTCGGTATGACTCCGCGGTCACGGCGCGATTGTTGGTATGACTCCGCGGTCACGGCTTGATCGTCGGTATGACTCGCGATCACGACACGATCGTCAGCATGACTCCGCGGTCACGGCGTGATCGTCGGTATGACTCCGCGGTCACGGCGTGATCGTCGGTATGGCTCGTTGTCACGGCGCGATCGTCGGTAGGACTCCGCGGCCACGGCGCGATAGTTGGTATGACTCGCGGTCACGGCGTGATCGTTGGTATGACTCGCGATCACGGCGCAATCGTCGAAATGACTTCGTCTCCTGCGTTCGCGGACCTATCGCTCGCAATAGCGGCGTCATCGGCACTCGCGAAGCGGCAAAATCGCCAACGATCGGACCAAATCCCGTCCCGAAAAATTCCCGAATAAAATGTAATCCCGTCCCGATAATCGGGAATATTTTTTTCCCAAAAAATTCCCGAAATTTCGGGACCCGTCCATCCCTAATAAATGGTGGTGTATACTTATCTTTATTTAGCACTATTTTGAGATAATGGTCTTAGTTTGTAAATGCACAATGTTAAAATGGGCTAAAAATAAAGTTATAAAAAGTCCTCATAACTTTAGAACGGATCAAGATTTTTTAAAACTAATTGCAGCATTGTAATCAGCGTAAAATTTTAGTTTGAAACAGTGGGTCACAACCCTACCTTTACATTTGAAAAACAAATTTTGTATCCAATATGGCGGATCCAAGATGGCGGCCAAAAACGTTTATCCAGTCAAAATGAAGTACTTACTACACTACAATGATCTGACGTGGTTAGAAGTTGATATCTTAAGAAATGTAGAAAAAAGTAGGGGGGGAACTCATTTAAAATTCACCCTGTATTATAGTCATCAATTTAGCTCAGGGGCTAAATCATGTCTATTGAATTAAAGGCTTCGAAGGATAGAATTTATGGAGCTGGTTCCTCTATTATTGATTATATTTTAAGAATATGTTACTCAGAGGTGGTTTGGAAGCTCGGTATTAGCGCTAGCCTGCTGCTAAGAGCCGGATATTTCCAGTATTTAGGTTGACGCAAAAAAAAAAAAACCGGTTTGGGAGCTCGGAATTAGTTAGGTGCGGGCCAAAATTGGGCAGTGATAATCTCGCGCCTAAATATTTCTGGTTTGGGAGACTGAAATTAGGATCAAGAAATATATCTTCCTCATATTAATTAGTGAGTTTAAGCTGCAACTTTAGTTCTGGCAGGGTGCAGGTTTAAGTGAACATTATGCCAGTATTACCTCATTAGCATATTTATTGTTAACACATTAACTAAAAGAATGTTAAATTGGGATTTGTTAAATTTCGAACAATTTAATAATTAATCTCAAAGTATATTTGAAAAGTTTTGTTTTTAGGTTTCTGATGTTCAAATAAAACAAAAATTGCCTAGTAAGATAAATTTAACCAAAAATTATTTTCTTTTTCTTTTTCCTGTTTGCTGCAATAAAATATGGGCCCTAACTGGAATTTTTTCAACTGAGAGTTTGGTTTTAAAACACCTGTACCTTAGTTATAAAAATATTTTATTAGCTACGAAAAACATGAGAAAAGATTCAGTCCTTTGATCGTGTGATTTCTGTTCAATGATTGGGTGTGTTAACACCAATGCTGTCACAAAATCGAGTTCAAGGGTATCTGCGGAGGTCTTCTTGGTATCAGCCATGGTCAATGTCACACAATAAAACACTTACGCACTGTTTTTTTTAATCTCACTACCACTTAAACAAAGTAATCATACACACTTTTTAATGAACAAAATTAACTAAGACGACAAAAAGAATAATTTGAAAACTAAATAAGTGGTATCAGCAATATGACACATACTTCCTCCCATTACCTTGTCAACAACCTTTATCATAGGTAAGTGACAGGACTATGATATTTTATAGGGAAAATCACTAAGGTTGCAATCACTTCTGACCATAATTTTTACAGCAATGGGGGTTTGCACTATTTTGTTTAGAATTACAAGGACCATAATATACTAATTGTAATCAAAACCATCTTTTTTCAAAAATATGATTTTCCGTTACTTTACAGGATTTTTAATGGGAAAATTACATATGTTACAATAACTTAAGAACCGTAATTTGGACATTTTTGAGAAGATTGGATTTTTCTGGTACTTTATGGGTTTTTATGAGTAAATCACCATTAGAAATCAAAGTGTCAAAAAATGAAAAAAAATTCCTGGAGATACCATAGATACCTTAATACAAAATTTCATAAAAATCGGACTACAGGTGTGGTCTGTAGCTCTGTGCACAACAATATATACAGACATCACTTCAAAAGCCCCTTTTTCGGGTTCAGGGGGCCCAAAACGGATATATCCACTCTAAACTCAAACTGGAGAATTTTCACAAAAACACTACTTCTTCCATAAACTATCGTATAGGGGGAGAAGGTGAAAAATTGCTACATAAACGCCAAAACTCACAACCTCATGGTCTCGGTCCACCTTCACAAAAGTTTGACGGAAAATTAAAAACAAACAAGTAGAAGAAGTGTCAGGGCTTCTAAATCCCCCCCCCCCCCTAAGTACACTTTTGTTGTTGTCTACAGTCAGGTGTTCTGCATTGGCCGTTGACAACCCCAAAACCTGAATTCTCCGGCATTTCCTGACCATCTAGCCATGCTGCGACTTAGGCCCGATTATACTTGCTCTACGATCATTTCTACTTTGACCCGAGCTCCCAAGTCTGGTTTTTGATCCGCGTACTTAAGTTAGGCGCATCTAACACTGGGCGTGTACTAGCTGCACTCGAGCTCCCAAACCACCTTTCAATGTCATACCTTTGTAACAGCTGTTTTATTTTTCCAATCCCTGTTTTGGAAATCGGACCAGAACCATTATAGATTGAATCAGCTGTTTGTGTTGTAGATTAATACTATTTAATTTTATATATGTTTTTTTCACAAATTTTGAAGTGCCCCTTTACGCATAAGATATACGAGACAGAATAAAGAGCATAATGAAATATATAAACAACACAGTTTTAAGATAAAATAAATTACCAGTTGGTCTTCCACATATTAATGCTGCACACAACTCTTCTTCTTCCTCTTCTGATGTCAGGTCGTCTGCTTCGTTAATACGGCTTCGCTTCCCTCCAGTTTTTTTACCCTCCCGTCGGGTTCTTGTCTGAAATTACAATTTTAATTAATTTTGTTTCCATTAACCATATAACCTTCATACAAACTCTCCAAGTGGAACTTGGATAGTGCAAATACTAAGAAACAATGACAAAACCTAATTAGATAGACTTAGTGATAACAAACTGTTTAAAAATAGAAAAGCCATACTTTTGAGGTGCAAACACCTGCTTCGATAGAATGACTTTGATTGGAAACACAATTACAGTTCAGCTGCTACCGTTAAGCTTGTATGAAAAACTCTGAACTAAATTATCGATCATACGGATGTTCAGTGGGACTAATCCACAGGCAGAGAGTATAAAACAAGGGTTGGCAAACTAGTGATTAGGATGGGAGGGCTACGTCACCGATGTTAAAAGAGGCAAGGGAGTGGAGGAGCTAATGAATGGGTTAAGCAGAGCACAGTATTAAGCCTTATGCAACACCGTGCAGTTCTTCAATGTAAGTTTTTTTGGCAAATCAATCTTGTTGTTATGGTTCTCTTAAACAACGTTAAAGTTTCAAAAAATTTGAACTATCCAAAATTATATTCAAATTAGCCTCATTATACAGCCCCTATATCTGATTGCATAGGATGTACCTATCTGAGAACCTAAAGAAAATTTCTAATTAAAGAGGCTCCTAAATATAGAAAGTTTGAATTAGGCAAGTTTGACTGTATTACAATGAATTGTGTATTTATTCCATATGATTTTAGGGGTACAGTTCCAAAACATTTTTCTAGATTAGAGTTCATTGATTTCTAAAAATAATTAAAATAGGCCCAAGGCAAAATTTTAGTTTTACGTTTCTGTTATAGTATATTGAATTTTAGCCTCCTTATCACATTTAAATACTAATGAATTGGTGTAAATACATGCATTTATGCGATCAATGTGTTGCTAAATTGCAACCGGTTTCAACTAACATAGGAGTCATCGTCAGGGCAGTACAGATGTCTTCTCGCTTCATTCAAGATCGTCAATTCATAATAAATAAATACATTTGACATGTACAAGTACACAAACATAAAAACGAATATTTAGGGTTAAAAACAAAGGGTGATACTAAAACAGTAACAAGACACGACATGATCGGGCGGGTGTTATGTCTAAACTCTTGTTATGTATTACCCTTAGTTTTTAACCCTAAATGATTGTTTTAATGTTCGTGTAGGTGCGTGTTTTAAATGTATTAATTTATTATGAATTGAAAACCTTTGAATCAAGCAAGAAGACATCTGTACTGGCCCGATGATGACTCCTAAGAGAGGCGAAATAGGTTGCATTTTAGCAACACATTGATTGCATAAATGCAGGAATTTACACCAATTCTTTAGTCTGTTATAGTAATGGATATATAGATGGAAACATAGTTTCCGAAAGCGCTTGCGATTAAAACAATTTATTATATATTGGCCTTTTTGAACTTTAAGTTATACATTTCATTATTCATTGCCAATATCTCCAATATAAGTCATCTGTTGTAGTAGCCAAAACCATAAAAAGAAATTAATAAAGTTATGTTAACTCACCTTCCTTTCTCTAGGTTCTTTACCAACACCATCTTGATTCTTCCTAGGGTTTCGTACCTTCAATTTCTTATTACTATTAGAAGTAGATGGGAAGTTTCCACTACTTATGTCAATATCTTCAAACATACGTTTGGTCCTTGCGACTCTGTCTTTTAGGTTTTTCATAATGTCACAGTCCGTTTCACTTTCATCCTAAAGAAAACATGAAATAGTTTATTAGTGGTTGTACTATAGTATACATGAATACATAAATGAATTTGTTAGTTTTGATTTATGAGTTTTACTTATCTTTTAGTGATGTATGAAATGAAAAAATCAAAAAATGAAAACTGAACAAAATTAATGGAATAGATGTGTAAAACCAGAGGATCTTTTTTAATAGTATATCAGATCTACATTTATTTTCTAATATTTAGCAAAATTTGAGCTAAGTAATTAATTGTAAATCTGACATTATTGTATTTATCAACAAAATAAAATCTTATGCAACAAGATCTTGGCTATTTTAGAGGTGAGCCTATCTAATAAATAGGGGTGTGTGAGTAAGTGGTGTAGAATTTTTAAGCGAGTAATTCAGCATGTGGCTTCACACAGGTTTTTAAGGAAAGTAACAAAATTGTTTTTCAATAATTTTGCTGGAAGCATTATTATTTGAACAATATGGATACTTATGTTACATTCGTAAGAAGTAATATTGAAAGCAGAGTGTCTAGTTTATTTCCATTTTAAAATTCAAGACTAATTCCTGACTTTTCAAGACTAATTTCAGATCTGTCAAGACTAGTTTTTCCAACAAGTAGTCATGTGTCAATACCAAAATGTATCAATTTTTGTTCTTGATACCGATTTTTATAGTTTTACAAAATTTTCTAAATAACTTGGTTATACTACACTAACTCCTGTCTTTATGTCAAATTAAAATGCAACAATGTAACATTCTAACTGACCAATTTGGGTTTAAACCCTTCCCAACACAGTAAATAACTACCATATGATCACCATATGGTAAATTAAATGAAGATCTAATGACGAAAATACAATTTTACTATAACTACAGGTATGCCAGCCTGATATTTTTAATCAAGCCAAACTAATAATAATATAATATTGTGGTAATATTGTGATCATCTGCGGTCGTGGAGACATCATGGTGGACTTGGGATTACTGAGAATCCAAAATATCTTCCCCAGTCACGGAAACATCATTACTATCTGTCGCATCCACAGAATTGCCATCATCGTCTCCCACGGTCACAGAAATGTTACCAATGACTCCCGCGATTGTGGAAAAATCACGAATATCTCCCACGGTCACAAAAACGTTATTGTCGTCTTGCTTGATTGCGGCAAAACCACAAAAATCTCCCAAGGTAACGAAAACGTGACCGTTGTGTCTAGCGTGATAGAGACAAGGTCATGAATATCTCCCAAGGTCACGAACGTGTGGTTGACGTCTAGCTCGATCACGGCAAAATCATGAACATGTCCCGCGGCCGTGTAGACATCATCGTCATCTCCCAAGGTCAAGAAAAAGTTATGGAAAGTGAAAGAAAAAGTCGCCGACAAAACATGAAGATCTTCCACAGACGTGTAGACATCTTTATCGTCTTCCGCAGTCACGGAAATGTGATCGTTGTCTTGGGCTATCGTGGCAAAATCATGAAAATTTCCGACTTTAATATCAAAATAAAGACTAAATCCCGACTTAGGCTACTTAATTTTTTTTTTTAAACAAAATATCCATATTTCAATTTTACAGTATTTTGCATTAGTTAGATTGGTCATACAAAATTTAAGGGATTAAGAAAATAACTTATTTGTACAAGAAAAACACTTAAATAACCAAACACATTCAAATCAAAATAATATATAATGTAGCAGAAGTGTTAAAAATATTTTATGAAATTGGTGAAGTGTCTAAACCAAAATTTATCGATTCTCAATACCGATACCTAAAAAACTATTGTCAATACCAATACCATTTTTAAAATAGTTTTACCAAGTTTTCTGAATGGATTGGTTGACCAACCCCTGTCTTTATATCTTTCTATTAAGTATTTTTGAACTAGGCTAATAGGGTGTTTTTCAAGTAAAAAATTGTATTCAGCAATTAAACATTCTAACTAGCCAATTTCCAAGCTTAAACCCATCTTATCACATCAAATACCGGTAATTACCATAACTAAGGTACTATAGAGGTGTGCCAGCCTGATATCTGATATATCTCTTTCAATTACTGAAACATCATCACTGTTAATCACAGTCGCGGCAAGATCATGAACATCTTCCACGGCCGTGTAGACATCATCATTGTCATTTGACGTGAAGTAACGACCCAGCCTACACTTTTATTATAGTTTATTTATTTATGTTTATTTTTACATTATTTTTCTAATGCACGTTATAATTTTGTTACGGTTGCTTAGGTTGAATAAGAAGTTTTTTTCATCTTTGGGTATTATGCTATATTATAAAGTTTAGTTGTTTTATCCTACACATTATCTTATGACACATAAAGAGTCTTGATTATTAATAATTTAATAAACAAATTGGTTGGTTTGATTAAATTGTGTGTCCTACAAATGGAAGTATTCCTACTTTATTTTCAATTATTTTGGACAGTATCCAGTTTTGGTAGGCTTTATTTTGATATTTTTTAAGCATTTCACTTCACTATGAAAAACTCATAAATGCTCAAAGTACTGAGTTTTTTTGTAAACTTGACTCATGAATTCATTACTCTCACACCCCTAATAATTTATTAATAATTAAACACTTAATTGAATATTTTCACTGACAACAATTACGAACAAATAAAATAATATCAACATAATAAATATACATACTATAGTAATATAATTGAATATACATATAATTACACCACCACCATGAAATAAAGAGAAAAAAGATAAATACAGCACACTTTTTATTTAGAGGTGCACATTTTCAATGTTTTAATTTCTGTTTAGCTCAATCAAAAATAAACCTGACCAAAGCCATGTTTGCAACCGAGTTTATAACATGTCTTTTAAAGAAAAGATTACAACAATTCAAGGAATGGGGGGGGGGTTTATAAACGTTCTTAGTTCTTACAGTTTTTTAAGTGTTTCCAACAGAAATTTGGTTTTCAATGAGAAGCTGAAAACATGTGTTTTCACCCAACATTGCAGCAAAATGTTTGTTTAAAAGTGGTATGTTGAAAACTCTGGTGTAAACAAGGCTTAAGACAATGTTATATTTGATTCAATTATGGAATGTTTCTTGAAATGGGATTATAACCATCCCACAATAACCATAGGAATCAAGAAGCAAAATTTACTATGTTTAACTCCTCTTACATGAGAGGACTTACAAAAATGCCGTACATAATAGGACAGCCAACCATGAGGTTGGAAATTGGCAAACTGACTCAAATTAGTTTTCATCCATGTAAAATACAATTTCATAATTTAAATTAGATGATAATCGCATTAAATTCATTTAGGTAACAGTAATTTCTAAATTATAAAGGCATATCCACCTACACACACCAATGTGATGAGATGATTTCATTTTCACAGAAATTAAAATAAGGACATCTCGCAATTTATTAATTACTTTAACATACAATGAGCAGATTGATTGTCTGTTCTGCATGTGTAGTAGCCAAATTATCTTGTAAAGTTGTAGTGACTACAGCTGTTCTGTACTCATGAGAATGTCATCAGTTCCAAAAAGAAAAACTTGGTGTACTCATAAGTACTGTACCAAAAAGCTGTCGTCACTGCAAATACACATGATAAAGAGGTCAAATAGACCCTTAGCTTACATTACCCATACAGAGGCCATTCCACCATTAAATACGAGTATAACCCACAGAGTATTGCGTGTACCCACACTCTATCTATTCGATAACCCATTTTTATCATGAAATTAACATATTCAAGTACATAAAGGAACATATATGATTCTCCATTATGTTCTATGTGTCAGAACACTTTAAAGTAGCAAAAACCTTCACGACTTGATTCTTAGTTCTGATACAAAATTGAGCTGAACCTCGATTCCACTGCAACACATGTACATAAAATCTGCACACATCTAAATAAAATAGCTGAATTATATATCACACAAATCATATTCAGAAGGATTTAAGTTTACTTTAATAATGTCATCCCCAACAACACACTATTACGAAATGAAAGAATTTCCAGAATACTTAAGTTAGTTTACAGAGTAGTAAGGTAACATCAGTTTGAGAGGAAGAATGGAGCCATTACAATTAGCATGTAATACAGTGATGATCAAAATACTTGATAGTTTGAAATTGGAATTATCAAGAGGTTTGATTTATTTAGGAAAAAACATTCAAGTTACAGAGTTGATTATTTAAAAAAGAACAATTGCTTTTGTAACTTTGTATGATGCCTTGGTCAAGCGGCTGTATCTTTGTTTGGCAGAAAAAATTGAAGTCCCACGCTTGACAAATGAGGAGTGTTGTTGCGTACTGAACGATTGTCTAGAAAGAAGATAATTTTACAATTTTGGCGTTTATATCAGCTGTGTATAATAATACTAGCCACCTATTGAACAAATCAGTTGTCATCCAAGCCTTTTTTTTTTTGACATAAAATGAGGTTACTAACCTGTCGCCAATCAGTCCTATATTGTCGTGGATGACTATAGTTTTGGGGTTAAAGCCCCATTTTCTAATCTTCTCTTCAGTCATCATATGTCAAACATATCCTTTTGCATTAGCCGTCGTCACATTTACTTCACACATAAACACATACAGAAACATTTATAATTACAAATCATGTACATGCGTGCGAGGCCGGCCAAGGACAAAACGAGACTGCAGGGTTTGATAAGAGTGTAGGTTAGCGATGCCTACTTGATGTTGTTGACCTTGGGGGAGGGGAATCAGCTGTTTATCTCCTCTATTGTTCTGTAGATTTGCCACTCTGTCAAATAAAATGTTTGGCCCAAAATTTATCATCTCGTTCAAAACATCATTTGATTCAAAACAAGATGAACGTTCTTGAAAGCTTTGAAATTTACAAAGCAATAAAAAATTCCCCAAATGATGTTTTTAGTGAGAAGTTAAATTTTGGATCACACATTTTATTTGACAGAGTGGCAAAACTACAGAACAATAGAGGAGATAAACAGCTGATTCCCCTCCCCCAAGGTCAACAACATCAAGTAGGCAT